TTGTTGTCAATTTGGCTCAAATAAACTCTCCAAAGACTTTTTCTTAGCCTCTACTTCTTCCCACAACTTTTTTTTTTTTTAAGACAAATCTATTCTGCCGAAACCGGTTTGGCTCAGTGGATAGAGCGTCGGCTTGTGGACTGAAAGGTCCCAGGTTCGATTCCGGTCAAGGCCATGTACCTGGGTTGCGGGCACATCCCCAGTGGGAGATATGCAGGAGGCAGCTGATCGATGTTTCTCTCTCATCGATGTTTCTAACTCTCTATCTCTCTCCCTTCCTCTCTGTAAAAAATTAATAAAATATATATTAAAAAAAATAAGATAAATCTATTCTTTTTTTAAAAGATGTTTTTTTTCTTTCAAATGTTTATTTATTTTGGAGGGGAGAGACTGGAGGGGTGAAAGTGAGGCATTTAATGTTACCCCCATGAACTGCCTATAAGAAAAGGTAATATTTTCTACTTGATAAACACTAGAATGACTTAGTGGGTGAATCAATGATTCTTCTTCTTCTTTTTTTTTTTTTAGCCATGATTTACACAACATTTATTTAGGTGATTCATGTAACTTAAGAAATAATTACACAAATGCTACATTAACAGAAGGTATGAAGTATAGTGTGACAAACAGCAAACTCTCAATGATTCTTCTTAAGTTCTTAAAAAGTTGTTCTTGCTTCAGCAAATCAATTAATAATAAGGACTTCCGGAGTAAACTGTTGTGAGAAATTCGGTTCTGACTTGGCAGTAGAGTTCATATTTAGGGATATGTGAAACTCAATAGGCAAAGGAGATCTTATGGTGTGGTTAGGATATTGATGGTTGAGTTTAGATTTTCTGTTGTGGTTTTGAGTAGAGAGGACAGAACTTGAGAAGACTGGATGGCAATGCATTGAAATATGTTTTTATTGATTTTTAGAGAGAGAAGAAGGGAGAGGGATAGAGAGAAACATTGATGAGAGAGAAACATCATCGATCGGCTGCCTTCTGCACGTACCCCTATGGGGGATTGAGCCGGCAACTTGGGCATGTGCCCTGACTGGCAACCTCTTGGTTCCTGGGTGGATGCTCAGCCACTGAGTCACACCAGCCGGCTGGTCAACATTTCCTAATTAGAATTTTCACCAACTTTACCACAAAAAAGTAATTTTGCTGCTGATAACATACTTTTTAATTGCGGTCTGTGCCAACCCTGTGCCAACTGCTTTACTTGTATTATTTGATTTGAGCCTCTCAACAACTCTAATAAGGTAGGTACTATTGTCATACCAGAGGCATACCTGGGAGCTATTTCAGGTTCGGTTCCAGACCACTGTAATAAAGTAAATATAATAAGGTGAGTCGTAATATTTTTGCTCGTGGAGAGTCTTGCCTTCAGTTTGTAAAAAACACAACACCTGTGAATTCCAATAAAGTAAAACACAATAAAAAGAGGAGTGCCTGTATTTTACAGAGGATAACACTGAGGTAGAGAAGTTCAGTAGCTTCTGCAAGGTCACACAGCTAATAAGGTACCTTAGCCTGGAGCCCATCATGTTATCACATGTGTGCATAGGGCTCTAAGATAAGAAAGGTAACAGTCACCACAACAGTTGAAAAGGACTAATGATTTTACAGTTCTATACTGTCATCTCCATCCAGCTTAGTATACTACATGCAGAAATGAGCTGTATTCCTCAATTACTGGGGCTGTTTAGGAACATTGTGCAACTTAATATTAACATTGTTTGGATTAATACATCACACACTCAGATGTTCCTAAAATATTGGTCATAGGTTTTTGGTGCTATAAATTTGTTTTTTAATAATTTGCTCTTACTCTCCATTTCCCCCCTAATGCTAACACAAGTTAAATGGTCTGCTTCCGACCTTCCGAGTGGAGGCAAACTGAAACTAATTTATTTATAACTGGTTAGAAAACCCAGTTGGGCAGGATCTGTCCGCCAGGCCAGGCGGGTGAGGCTGATGAAGCTGGCCTTACATGGGTGCCTGCCCCTACCCCACAGGGACCAAGACCCTCGGCCTGCCCAGCCTGCTCCGAGCCCACTAAGTGGTGGTAGAAGTCAGCTCTGCTTCCCCAGCCCTCGTGGAAACATCCTCCCTATAGTTCACTCCCTCCCCAGGGCCCAAGGTATCAACTAACCACAAGCTAAAAAATTAATTCGGGCCCTAATAGGAAATAATGTGAAGGTAACACAGGCACTTTTTAACAGTCCTACATCCCTGACAGCTGCTCTATGCTGAGATCTTTCCAGCATTAGTAAACAAAAAGCATCAAGTCATGGAGTGGATTTTAAAAAAGAGAGTGAACAAACAGTATACAAATTTCTCAATTTATTTTTTACATTGCTGAGTGGCAGACAAGCTTGAAAATATAATCTTCTATTTGTATCTGTATACCCCTCACTCCCATCCCTACCTCCCAGGAGCTCAAAGTGTGAAATGGTCGAGCCCAAGGATGCAGAAAAGGTTCAAATCAATATTCAGCAAAACAAAAGGGGGAAAACTGGCGACTAACAAAGAATCTCCTCTATACAGAACAACAGGGGAAATAAAAATAATGGCAGCGTTACTTGAGCATTCATTTGTCCCAGGCTCTTTTCTAAATGCCCTTTGAATGCACTGCCACATAGTAATCCCCACAAGGAATTATTAAGGAACAATTATGAATCTTATTATGCAAATAAAAGTGAATAGTGACGTCATTTGCTGGAGTCCAACAGGTAGTAAACTCCGGACCAAGAGCCACGCTGTCAGGCCCCAGAGCCCAAGCTCTTCACCTGCTACAGGCAGGAGACGAACCTGTGTCACCTCCTCGGAGAGTCAGAGACGAACCTGGGGCGAAAGAAACCCCCAACAGGTCACCCCTTAGTGAACATCTGCTGATGACACAGGCGCTTAGGCTCTTGCTGTCTCACAGCTCATTTGGAGAAGAAAATTAATTGTGCTTATTACGCAGCTGCATTCAAAATGAATCCCGCAGGGTACGAGCCTATGGACGTCCTGGACTGTAAAGAGGACTAAGCCACTCTTTTCAGGTTCTTACTTTTTTTTTAAGTGAGAGAAGAAAAAGAAAAACGCCAAACCAGGTTACAGAAACTGTGGTAAAGATTCACAAACAAGTGAATGCTTTCAACATACCCAGTGCGAGAGGAGGGTTTGAAACCTCATTTCGTGGGTAACCACGTAGGCCCCGGCCTAACACTGTGTGACTCCGAGGTTCGGCCCCGGCGCCCGGCGATACAAGCTCCGCACCGCCACCAGGAGACTCCGGCTACCAGAGCGGTGCCCCGGGG